AAACCTATACACTCTAAACATAGTTTTTACTATGTCAATTTTATTTCAATAAAGCTATTTTAGAAATATAAGCAAATATAAAACTATGTATTAAAAAGTCAGGGAGCTAGACAGAAGTAGACACAATTTCGCAGATATTATATGTTTTAGCAGGTTATTTATTATAGTTGATTACAGGTACTGATGACAAATTTGTCTTCAATTCTCATAAAGCAATGCCCTTACATGCCACAATGTCTTTCTCCAGGGCACATCTCAAACTTTGTAGCCTACTTGTGAAGGTTCTATGAGACACTGAACTGGAAGAAAGTGGGGAGCAAGGCAAAAATGAAGAAAGAGGGGGAAAGAAGGGGGAGGACGCCATTAAAAAAAAAGAGAATGAGAAATAAAAAGATGCTTCTGTCAGGTAATAAAACACATTTCTCTCATACATATAGTTTACACCATCCTTAAAAATGAAAAAATCTATTTCTGTTATGAAGAGAAAGTTTTACCTTTTTACTTTTACCATTGCTACTGAAGCTTTTCCTGGATATTCTAGCTCATATAACACAGAAATACATAAGACACAAAATTATCATCATTTGCAAAACTGATCATTACCCAGATACACTGGAGAATTATTATTTTTTTTTAAAGATGAGGCAAAGGGGCGCCTGGGTGGCTCAGTCGGTGAAGCGGCTGCCTTCAGCTTGGGTCATGATCCCAGGGTGCAGGGATTGAGCCCCGCATTGGGCTCCTTGTTCAGCAGAGAGCCTGCTTCTCCCTCTCCCTGCTGCTCTGTCTACTTGTGCTCTCTATCTCTGTCAAATAAATAAATAGAATCTTTATTAAAAAATATAAAGATGAGGTGAAAACTACCAGTGTCAGCAATAAAAACAGTAAGGATCTTAGAGTAGTTTGAAAAAGCCTAAGAGGCTATTAGGAACGACTTCTTGCCAGTTAATCTGAAGGTGAAATGGACAAATTCCTAACAAAATACAATTTACTAAGACAGGAAAAGAAAAATCAAATAGGAAACCTAGATTACTACATTACCCCAGCCCCAAAACCATAAATTCTACAATTATTTTACCAATATTACACAAAACCTTCAGAGAAAAGAAACTAGAACTCCCCAACTTGTTTTATAAGGCCAAAGCATATTATATAAATGACAAGAGGGAAAAAAAAAAAAAGAAGTAAGACAAGCTTATGTCATTCACAAGCCAAAAAACTGGCTTCAAGTTAGACTGACTTCTTTATTAACATTTATTGATCATCTCCTTAAAGACTATTTCAGATTAAAAGATACACAGCTGTAGTCTCTACCTTCAAAGACTTAATCTAGTGAAAGAAATGGTGGAAAAGGATGCTCAAATATCCTAAGAAGTAAGATCTACAAAATCCTGCCTATACGAGGCCTGAGAACAACATAACTGCAAGGATAAGCCTTTGTTATGACAAAGGCTAACCGTGATAATACTGAGCTAACTAGAAATTTACATAATTCTAAATATAAAATACAGTAAATGTTTCTATGAAAGCACCACATATTTGCTTTTCTAAATTGCAATGTATCTACTACTTACAAATGCTTTCAGTTTCTCCCCTTATCTGCCATAATTTACTTAAGAGAGGTTGCTATGCCAATGTGCCAGTACTATTTTATTACTGAAATGATCGTACTGGTCCCTAACAGTGTCAAGAAACAATTGAAATAATTTTCCCTACTATGTCCCTAGATACTCTTTTATCTTTTTATAAACATAACATAGTCATTTTAGCATTTTTTTTTACCTGAAGCTGCTCTTGAGTATTATTTCCATTTGCCTACATAATAAATAATATTCTTGTTCTCAAAAATCAAAATTAACCTTTATAGAAAACCTTCTGAAACAGTCTTAGGAAAATCAACTTAAGAGACAGCAAATGTCACCAGAACAACATTGATCCTGAGAGACCTCGTATCAGAATTCTTAACCCATTTCTAAGCATTGGCTTCTGGAGTCCAAGAACATCCTGAAACAGTATGCTAAACGTGGTTGTATTTTCTTTGCAGCAAATTCTTAATTTTCATCAGATGTTCATGGGTAAATAATGCCAAAAAAACCTTTCCCCTTACCTGGCTATGAAGGTTAAGTATAATGGAAAGTATACATTTAATGATAATGCAAACAATTCTGATAAAACATCTCAAGTTGTTTGTACACACATGATTAGGAAAGGATAGAGCAAAGAGGAAATAATAAAACAAGAACATGTTTGCTAAACACATATCCCTTTTCTACAAGGCAATGATCTTTTGAAGTAAATACTTGATTCCCTTTTATTACCCAGATCAATACATTTCTCTGCCAGTCTCCTGGTCAATTCATCTCTTTGACAAACAAGGTTGAAAAGCTGTCAGCAGGTTCCCTGTGTATGGGCAGTCTCCCCCACAATTATTAGCTTCTAAGAAACTGAAACAGTGAGTATCACTGGAATCAAGCTGTAAGGAAATTCCAATACATTAAAATGAAATCAAGTCATGGAGGCTGCAGGACATAGCTCCTGGAAGTGATACCAGACAGAAAGTGCAAGCAGGAAAGACGCATAATTAGGTTGCCAGGATACAGTATGAACCTACATGATTAAAGGCATTCATTTGCCTTCCCAGCCACCACACATTCCAAAAAGCACCAGTGTCTGAACTGTGCCACCTGCCCATGCTAGTCATTTCACTAAGTACAGCAAGCATCAGAAAACTCAGTCCATATTTGCTGCAGTTTATCAATACTAACTCCATGCACCCTCAGAGACCAGGAAAGACTGGGCAGGAATGTACTTGTGCCCAAATTATCATATTAGCATCAGGGTCCACAGGAAAAGGAATCAGGGAATAGTGTGTCTAAGTGTCCTTGAGTAAACATCCCTCAAAAGTTCTAGCTCTAAGCACATAAAATTAGGAACTTTAATTTTTAGCAAGTCACTGGCAGGGATCACCTATACATACTGACCAATCATTCATGCCAAAAATAATGAGAATTGGGGCACCTGGGTGGCTCAGTGGGTTCAAAGCCTCTGCCTTCCGCTCAGGTCATGATCCCAGGGTCCTGGGATCTAGCCCCACATCCGGCTCTCTGCTCAGCAGGGAGCCTGCTTCCCCGCCCCCCCCCCAGCCTGCCTGTTTCTCTGCCTACTTGTGATCTGTCAAATAAATAAGTAAAATATCAAAAAAAAATAATGAGAATTAGTAACAGCTAATATTTATTGAGAACTTACTAGGTGGAGGGTTGCAGTAACCCTCACAATCCTCTGTGGTAAATACTATTATTAATTCGGAGATATTATGTAACTTGCCCAAAGTTATGCAGGTAATAAAAGGTGGGAACTGGGATTCCAAGCATGCTCACCTAATCACTATGCTATAATGCTTCAACCTGCCAGGTTATTTTTCTATCCAATAAACCAAGGGAGCCAATGAAAAAATTTCAGGACAGCAATAATTATATTTACATGTTAGATCACACTGATCAACACCGTGGACAGCAGACCAACGGTGAGTAAGCAAGGGTCCCCCCAAATAAGTCAAAATCTAAGCACAAAATGCTGAGGAAATGAACCATAGGGATGCAGAGAATAAAAACCTAAAATATGTGTCTGGTAGAATTACCTAGACCTGGTAACGTACTGGAAGTTGTAAGCATGGCAAGGGATGAAGGAGGCTACCTCTCACGTTACTGGCGTTGCCTCTGGTTAGTAATTACCATCTATCAATTCAAAGACAGAAGGAGGACCTGGCAGTTTGGTTTAGCTTAGAGCGGGGAGGAAGATGACAAGTCTACTTTTTAAATAACCAAAAACAAAACGAGAAAAACTAATTCTCTGGAATTTCCTTCCCTCGAACACAAAACTCTCTTTATGGAAATCTTGTCTTTGAAACGAGCAACTCCTAATGCTTTTTCAAAAACTAGAACTCACTTGAGCAAGGAGGGTCCTTCAACATTCCTAAGCTCTCCTGCTACAGAGGAGACACTGAGTGTCAGGCTTGTTGAGACCTTGTCTAGTGCGCCCTGGTTCTCACAGAACCAAGACGAGAAACCAGCTCTTCTGGCTCCATTCTACTTACTGCTCTCCTACTTCACCCACCCTCCCAATTCTCCTAATGGAGACTCACCTCACCAAGGAAGAATCATATAGCGTTTTTCAAAAGCAAATACAAATACGTAAGCTGAAATGTGAGGCCAACTGCATACACTTAATTTTCCTAAAATTTCTAGTTTTCTTTGTGTTAGTTTCTAGTCTCTGTAACGTTTCTGTATTTCCTGTCCTAAATAAACTCCCCCCACCCCCGCCCCTCCAAAAGTCTTTAAGAAATGACTGGCTCTCTATGCTAAGTATTCCACCACAGCAAACCAAAGCGCCACTGACAAAGCCTGCTCTGCCGAATCTGGGCCACTTAAGTCACGGCTTGGAAGCCTCCCGAACTTGGCGTAAAACCGGGGCGCGAGACCCGCCTGCACACGCTCCGCAGCTGGGCCCTGGCCTCAGCAGCTGGCTCCGAGATCCTGCCCCTGGAACGGCGCGACCGCGGGGAGGAGGAGGAAGCGGCGGAGGTGCTGCCCAGCCTCCACAGCCAACTTCCCGGTTGAGGCCCCTACACGTCCATGCAGGCTCGGCCAGGAAATGCACCACGGAAATCTCATCGCCAGGCTCACGTCTGGAAAGTCTTGAAAGAACTACATTATTTGTACTAGGGGCCCTGTGTCTAGCGCTCTTTGAAACAATAACCCCCTCGAGTTCTGTGTGGCCAGCAGCGGCGCTGGGAAAGCCCAGTGGTGAGGAATCCAATGGCCGACCCCGGAAAGGACGGGCTTTCCGAGAACCGGAGCCAAAGCCGACGCTCCATGTCTGTCCAAACCCCGGGGGACGCAGGCCCCTGCCCGCACCGCGCAGCCCAGCGCCCGGGCCCCACCCAGGCTCCCCTGACCCGGGGCCTCGGGCTAAGCACCGCGGCCGGAACCCACGCCCGCGCTCACCGAAATGCCGCCAGCGGTCTGCGCGCCCGGGCGCTTCTCCGGCATGGCTCCCGCCGCGGGCTCCGACGCCGCCTGGTCCTCCGGCTCCGGCGGCGGCTCGGCACTCATGCCGCGGCCATGCCCGCGCCGGCTCGGGACGCTCTCGGACGACGGCGACGCCGCGAACGCGGCGGCAGGGCCCGCGCCCTCATGGGCTCCGCGGCCCGCAGCGGCCTGCGCGTCGGGCGGCGGCGCCAGCGGCGACGCGAAGGGCTGGAAGGGCAGCTGGGGCTGGAGCCGCTGAGGAGACGGCGAAGGGACCGCAGTAGCTACTGACGCCGCCGGCCGCAAACACCTCCACTCTCCCCGCTGGCCGCTGCCTCCAGGGACGGTCAGGAGGCCCCGCCCCACGCCTAAGCTCCCGCCTCAACCTCCGGGCCCGCGCCAAAGGCCTTCAGCAGCGCCTAGCCCACCTCGGGCCCCGCCTCCGCGTCTCCAGACCAGCCGCGCGCCGGAAGTACGTCATCTCCCAGGACCGCCCCAACCGTACTTTCTGTTTCCTGAGACACCGCCTAGTGTGGCAAACCTACATAGAGGCGCGGGATTTTTGTAATTACGGCCCCTGTGGAGTGATTCCTTGTGTACTCGTCAGGTACAGAATGGACACGGTCTGATACGGGAAAAACTCCCCCCACCCCGGTCGGGAATCCAGAACTGGGAAAGTGCTGTATGCACTGTATCTAAGATATAATGTACCTCCCCAAAATCTACAGAAGCTGCTGGAGAGCTCAGTGAGCGGTGGGATGCGTGAGAAGGACAGTATGAGGAAACGTACAAACCCCTGTTCCAGTCAGTAGCTACTTGATGGCTCCAACGAGGCGGATATGAACTGGTTACTCAGAATCACAGAACTTTACGTCTGAAATAACGATATAGCCTGTTCTGGGCAAGGTGATGATGTATAAAAATAAACAATACTAACCCGGGCTTCGTAAATGCTGCTCTCATGATTACTGGCCATAAAGGACCTTGTAAGATACCACATCTCCATTTTGCAGGTGCCAACCCAAGCTTCAAAAGGTAAGTGACTTGGGAGTTACAAAGCTAAGGTAGCAAACAGGTAGGACTATTGCACCAATTTGGAGTACAGATAAGGTCAGAATATTTTTTCCTGCTAGAGGGTTGAGCATTCAATGCCTCCTTGAAAGAAGAGGAATTAGCTTGAAACCCTGAAGACCTTCCGTCTTTCTCCTTATTAGGGAAACCCAGGTAGACTTAACTAACAATAAAATATGTCCAATCAGTCCACCGTTGATTTACATCTTGTGTTATTACTATGAGAGTTAGTAAAAGGAAATCAGAAGCTTGAGCTCCCATGCCAGAGCATCATTTGTACACCCAGCAGAGAGAGACTCCCCTTGCAAATCTATGGTGCTTTAGCTACTGTATTATTCCAGCAGGAGGAAGAAGGGTTATCTCCCCATCTCCACCAGCCCAACCAATGAAAAGCCATTATACGTCAAACCCTTGGTTTACTCCAGTGGACTTTTTCTTTGTAACAGCCCTCCCAACTTTTTCTGTAAGAGAACCTTCCTCTCTTTGGTTCTTGGGGCTTGTCTATGATTTTAACACTAGCTTCCTTGCTTGCCCTGGATTGCAATTCTCTGATATTTCTGAATAAACCCATTTTTGCTGGTAAAATAACAGGCAGTTTTATTTTTAAAGTTAACATTTCAAACAGTTCATGCACAATCTTAAAGATTTTTGTGTGCTCTGACATAGTCTATACACTGGCTTAGGTCCCTCCCAGGCCTTGAGCTAGTTTAACTTTGGTGTCTTAGTTCAGGCTGCCATAACAAAATACCATAGAGTGGATGGTTTAAACAACAGAAACATTTCTTACAGTTCCAATCTGCATACAATATTGTAGCATAGAAAGATTGTAAAACAATAATGTTTGATCTTTTTAAAAAACATCAATCAAAAAAGAATGAATATTTCTTTAATAATGATTGGCTCTAGAATTAAAAATATTTTTCATATAAGCTTCTGATTTGGGGCTATGAATATATAATAGTATACTTTTATAATCAGAAAAAGAAAACAGACCAATTTCCCAATCTAAAAAAATATAATGAATTCTACTTCTCTAGTTTCCTATTGTTACATAGCAAATTACCTCAGACTTAGGGGCTTAAGTCAGCACCAGTGTATTACCTGAGTGTCTCTGTGGGGCAAGAATCTGGCAGATTTTAACTGGCTTTGCTGAGGGTCTCACAAGGGTAAAATCAAGATGTCACTGACTACAAACTCATCTGGAAGCTCGACCAAGTAAAGGTCTGCTTCCAAGCTCTCAAGTTATTGCTGGACTTCATTTCCTTGTGGTCCTATGACGAAGGGCCCCATGTTCTTGCAGGCTGTTAGTCAGCTACTCCTCTCAGCATCTGGAGGCTGTTCTGTTACTTGCTGAGTGGTCCTCTCCACAGCAGTCTGCTCTTCCCACATCTCTCTGAGACTTTACCTTCTTTTAAAGAGCTTAGTCGAGTAAATCAAGTCCACCCAGGATTATCTCCTTTTTGATTTACCCGAAGTCAACTGATGAGTAGCCTAAACACAGAAGTGATACCTCGTGTATTCACTGGGCCTGCCTGCAGTCTGGTGGAAGGGTAATGCAGCATGTGTGCACTAGAGTACAACAATCGTAAGGACCATCTTAGAATTCTGCCTGTCATACCAGACACTTCTTTAGAACAAGGAACTTATTTCACTTATCTTTGTAGTCCCATGGCCTGGCTCAGTGCCCAGAATGTAAGAGATGATCAGTGAATGCTTGTAGAAGAAATTAAGCCAGTTAATACTGTTTCAAACAGGGTGAATTTAGGAAGAAAAGCCCCATAGTATGTATTGGAAGTCTTTCCTACTTCATTTTACTGGATTCCTACAGTATATTGTGTGTTGCTAATCCTGTTTTGGAAGGCAGAAATGTTCATAGGGACAAGTGGAACTAGTGACAGTCCAGAGAGTTTATAAACAAGAGCATTCCTCTTGTTTTTACCTGGTATATCTATGTCAAGTTTTAGAACTTTAGCTGGAATTGATAGTTGAGGCTTGTGTGGATCAGATACTTAATATAAAAAAAACACACTTGTGATTTTTCACTGGAAACTCTTAAGAAATAGACAAAAGGAAGTGGTAGCAGTAGTCGTTGAGAGACCCACTTGAGCTGGGATCTATTTCACCAGTTATTGCTTGTGTGACCTCAAAAAAGTGTTTTAAAGTCCGTAATCCTCATTCTCCCCATTTACAAATTTGAGGTAATTAATACCCACCCTCTTGAGACTGTTGTGATTACAGAGAGCACATTATATGATTATATATACGTAGAGATCATTGAGATAATTAGTTGCAGTTGTTATGTAAAGCTCTCAGTTATTTTCTCTTTCTGGATATTGTCTTTCCTCATTCAGTGACTCGGGGAAGAGTTGAGTAACATGAAAATGTTACACACAGACTTTGCAGAAGCCTTTGACTTTGTTGCCTGGTTTAACGTGCTGTTTACACTTCCTCTCGTTGAAATCGTATTGGGTTGTCCCAGGTGTACTCCTTAATCCCCATCACCTGTTCAACCCATTCCTCCACCCACCTCCATTCTGGTAACTATTAGTGTGTTCTCTAGAGGTAAGTGTCTGTTTCTTGGGTGCCTGGGGTAGCTTAGTTGGTTCTGTTTGCCTTTGGCTCAGATCATGATCCTGGAGTCCCACCATCAATTCCCGCATTGGACTCCCTGCTCAGCGGGGAGTCTGCTTCTCCCTCTGACCCTCCCTCTTCTCATGCTCTCCCTCTCTTATTCTCTCTCTCTCATATAAATAAATAAAGCCTTAAAAAAAAAGAGTCTGTTTCTTGGGGATTAAGGAGGGGAATTGTGATGAGTACCAGATGTTGATTGCACTATATAGTACTCCTGAAACTAATACAAAACTGTGTGTTAACTAGCTGGAATTTAAATAAAAACAACCCCTCAAACCCCAAAATTAAAATGCATCTTAAAGAAATAAAAGAAATAGTTTCGGGTTTTGCTCTTTGTCGCATTACTTATGAGTAGGCTACATTTGCTCACATGCTTAAATCTAAGCAAAAACAAGAGGAACTTTTTTTTTTTTTTAAGTAGACTTTCTCTAATGGCACATATACCAGTCCCAAGTTTCTATAAAATTGTCAGATTCTTCAAACCAACTGTCCTTAACTGGTGTAATTTTCTTCCCAGGGGGCATTTGATAATTTCTAGAAATGTTCTTTATTGTCATGATCACCAGAGAGAAGAGGTTGCTAAGAGGCCAGACATGCTAACAAACATCCTACAATGCGTAAAATAGTCCCTAACAGCAAAGAATTATGTAGGCCAAAATGTCCATGGTGCTAAGGTTGAGAAACCCCGTTTTACACAAAGGAATTTGTACAGTGTAATGCAGTCAGTGTATTATTTTGGAGAGAAAATATATACATTATCTCCTAAATCACAGTGGCTTACACAGTAGAATAGCACTCAGCAATGAAAATGAATGAATTGTAACTATTCTCAATAGCATCACTGAATCACAGGATGATGTTGAACAAAAGAAGTCAAACATAAAGGAATATAAACAATATGATTCCTTTTACATGATTCCAAAAAGGCAAAAAAATACTTTGTGCTGTTGAAAGTCAGGATAATCAGTATTGTAGAGGTTTCTACAGGGCTGATTATGTTCTCTTTCTGGATCTGGATTCTGGGTACACAAATATGTACATTTGGTGAAAATTCATCAGTTATATACTTATGATTTGCCTATTTTTCTGAATAAGTAATTTCAACAAACAGTTTTCTAAACAAGAAGGAAAATGTATGCACAATGTCATGCTATTTGATTATAACGATTGTATCACTTAGTAGCTTAAGTATCATTTCCTGACTCCTGGGACCAAAAACCAGAAAAATTTGTAAGCCATTTTAAGATACTCTCACGGTAGAGAGTTGTTCTAGAGGGAGCAGTGGAGACTTTTGAAGTTTATTTTTTTTTCTTTTCCATAGCATCCACTGAAATTTGCTGTAACATTGGCAGGGTATATAGATCAAGGTATGATTCTACTAAGGCTTATTTTAAAATCAGTACAAGATAAGGATGCCATTGTAATGCTGGTAGGTGCGCTGATAATACTGATCTTTGGCCCCACATCTTGCTTATGTTTGTGCAATGACCTCCCTCAGGGCTGTGTTCCAAGCCCTTTGGAGGTTAATGTTTGCCATGACCAGAATTCAGGAAGGCTTGTTTTGAGGTTCCCTAAAGTTCTTTAGATAACTAGGAGAGAGAATATAG